TGGTCTTACCTATCCCTAATATTAAAGAGTCAAAATTTTTAGCACTAATTTTTCGTCCAGCCCACACTTTCCTATTCTTTTCTGTTACACCTAAAAGATATCGATTGCTTTCGTCCAATCTCCTTCGCGTGCGTGCATGAACGCTGCCGATACGATATTACGATCCCTGCCGATACGAGTCTCCGAGTCAGAGTCTGATACGAGCCCGTGCGCGTCCGTCGAGTCTTGATACTCCTGTGCACGTCCGATCCCTAGGACGCTCGTAAGCCCGCCTGCAAACACGCCACCCGTGTCAGTGACGGACTGCTGGTTGCGACTGAGGTTGGCTGTGGCTCACCGCCACGGCACCACCAAGTTCTGTGGGCAGGAGGGTGCATGCAGGTGGCGTTGCGCTATGGCCGCGTACTTATCGTCTTTCACATCCCACTGCCTATTCCTGTTGTTTTTCTGTCGCTCCCGCAGTCCCGCAGCTCCACGGATCTTTGCCCCACGGTTGACGTCAGTGGACCACTGTTGCGCCTCATCGCTCTGCAGCTTACGTGTTTGCTCTTGCCTTGGGGCTTGGGTCTGGTGTGCTGATGGAATTTTAGTACTGTGCCTCATTAACCAAAGGAAACTGATTTCATCAATCAAAGTTTATAAGGCACGGGGTATAGGTTGTTGTCTGCTGCCTTGCTCATTGATGTTGATAAAGAAACAAAGGAGACACCATGCATTAGCCTCCACGCCCCTATGTGAGGGATTCAAAGACCACCACACATCTTACATCTATGGCCTCTTCCATGTTTGCAAAAAAAAAAAAGGAGACGTTGAACACTAACGTCAGAAGGATGCTATTAATTTGTTGCGCAGTCAAGAATTTATGAGTGAAGTGTTTGTGGCTATGTTTTATTTACATCCTCTGATGGATGACTCCGATCATCTCATGCTTCATGTAAATGCCTTTGGAACAGATTCTCACCCTTACTCAGTTCGACTTAGCCTGGGGATCGCTGAGCAAATGTGCAAGGCAATCCTAAAGTTTTGGTTTTCAGTGTACAAGGTGCAGGAACTTGATGAGTCCTTTGCGGCAACAGGCTCTAGCAAATAATCATGTGAACACGACCACCATATATGCCGGATGATATATAGGTCATCAATATGTGTATTTGTGTCATTTTTTTGTTACTCCCATTGCAACGCAAGGGCAATTATCTAGTCTCAAAAAAGGGGAGCTTTCATGGCCTGCACTGCTGCACAGGATTATGACGAAGAGATTTCTTTTTTTTTTTGAATTGCATAACTTGGCAGCTTTGCAGTGTTACGTGTAATGTGTATACAGGGGTGAAGGTGGTGCGGACAACTCTTCACTCCGATCCGACCCGAATCTTAATTTTGAAGATATGGAAACTTTTAATACCCATACAAATATGGGTAATCCGAATCTAATTTTTACGGATGCGGAGTAGGACGGGTATGGAATCAGAGGATATGGATTATCCGTAAATTCTATACTGATTATAGGACTATATATATGTCTGTGCGTTGCACTGGGATCACGAATTTTTGGACTGAACTTCAGTAATCAGACGCGGGTCTGTGAGCTCCGACGACTTCGTAAGTTCGTATTGGACATGAACACGTGGATCCAGTCTTAGTATCGGAATCGGGTCAGACGTAGACATGTGATGACTAGAATATGTCTTTGCGTTGCACTGGGATCACGATTTTTTAGATTGAACCTAAGTAATCGGGCGCGGGCCTGTGAGCTCCAAGGGCTTCGTAAGTTCGTATCGGACATGGAGACGTGGATTCGGTCTTAGTATCGGAACCGGGTTAGACGCAGACATGTGAGCTCCGAGGACTTTGTATTGGACATGAACACGTGGATACAGTCCTCTTATCAGAACCGGGTAGGACGCGGACATGTGAGTTCTAAGTGGAGGATAATTTATATCGGACATGGACATGTGAGAAGGGATCGAGATTTAGAATCACCAAGTAGATGATGACGTTAGAGTCTTTTTAGGTGTAGAGAAGAGATAGAGATATCGGGTGATTTTTCATCCTAGACTAAAACCTTGAGAAATTCAAGATTTAAAAAAAAAGTTAGTCGAGAACTCTTATCATTGTTTGATGTTACAAATTTTAAATTGAGATCTTGCTTGCTGTTATTATATATTAGCTAATAACTTATCATTTGTGAGTGACGATAACTTGTTAAGTGTTAATTATGTCGTGTGGTAGCTAGCCACAACATGGAATGCAATACATGATTATTGTCTTCTACTTGTTATTAGCTCTTTACAAAACGATTATAATTTTTAATAACAAGTATAAAATACTTGACTATTTAAATCCTTATTCGATCTAATTCTATTCCATATCCGTACCGGTAATGCTACTAATAAGATGTCCAGTAGGCCGGACTCCTCGCTCCACTCACTGCCGCATGCGTCGCACGCTAAAAAAACAAAATCAACACCCGCACGCCTCTCGCTCCGCTCCGCTCCCGTCCTTACCCCTTCCGCGCTCCTCATCCCTTGCCACAGTACACCAACGCCTTGCGTCCTCCCCCACTAGGAGCCCCCAATTCTCGTAGATCCGGTGGCCCTCTCCCCACCCCGGCAAGATCCATAGAGAGTGAGATCCACTCGCCTCCGACGAGATCCATGGAGGTGGCGCTGCGGTGTTGCAGGGGAGTGGATGGCTCTCCTCCACCCCGTGCGTGGCGCCCTTCCCACCCTCGGTGGCGCCCTCTCTCGCCCCGGCGACCGAGCTCCCCCCCCCCGGCGGCCATGCATGGCACTCCTTGCCCCCATCCCCCACCGTCGCCGCCGAGCCAAGCCCGGTATTGGTGGCGGTGGTGCTCGTGCGCCTCCGCTCGCCGCCGGCTTCGACCCCGACGGCTGGAATCGACCGGCCTAGGCTTCCCCTCCCCTATGTTGCAAATGTATGTTTTAGGTGTTTGATCGGTTCAAAGGTATGTTGCAGTCTTATGGACGTTGCAAAAGTAGATTGGAGGATGTTGCATATGTTGCAAGTGTTTCAGAAGCATGTTGCAAGCGTATGTTCAAAATATTTCATCTATTTTCGAGACGTATGTTGCAATCTTTTTTATCTGGATGTTGCATATGTTTTCGCACATATGTTGTAACAATATATTCCGAATGTTTCAGTTGTTTCCGAGCAGCGTGGGCAGTGGGATCTGAAGCGGGCGGTTCAGATGTTAGCGCGGGAAACAGAGAGGCGCGGGCGGCGTGCGAATCCGAGCTGACGGGGCAGAGCTGCCGCAGGCATCTGGACGGACGCAGTAGTACAAACGTCCGGATGCTAGTGCTACCGTAAACGTATCAGTTCTGATATTCGAAAAGATCCACATTCATATTCGCACCTGTCTATTATCTGCTGAATACGGGAGAAAAGTTTTCCGCTCATCCATTTTCGTCCCTACGCACTAGTAGAGAAGCTAGTTCTAGTCCCGGTTCCCAACCCCATTTAGTCACGGTTTTGGGAACTGGGACTACGTAATCGGGACTAATGGTCTTGATTTTTAGTCTCGGTTCCTACAACCGGGACTAGAGGTGTTTCTTGGGTGAAAAAAGGTGCGGTTGTGGAGATTCGAACCCAAGACGGTTGTGCGCGTTATCATCGCACCTTCCACCACACATCTGATTTAGATAAGATACGCTTTTCTTTTAAATTCACTTTAGAGGCACCTTTAGTCCGGGTTTGAGACACAAACCGGGACTAAAGGTACCTTTATTCTAGGTTCGTGTTCCAAACCGGGACTCAAAGTCACACTTTTAGTCCGGGTTCATGTCTCAAACCAAAACTAAAGCTTTTCGCACTGACACACCTCTCGCACGTCTCGGTATACGTTACAACCGAGACTAAAGGGTGAAATTAGTCCCAGTTTATATTACAAACCAAGACTAAATGTCTAGTCCTTCCTTTAATCACGGTTGTAATTTCTAAACCGGGACTAAATATTTTTGTTTTGGTCATGAATGAATGGTTGTTTCTCTGCCAGTGACGTGTATACGAGTCAGAATCAACAACGCCATCCCCGAGAACTTTTCTGACGTGTCATCGAGGCTACGTATTTCCAAACAGACCTGTCTCCCTGGGATGTTACGCCGATTGCCGATCAGCCGCAGCGGACTCCTTTTTTCTGACTGATTTCATCTCCACCGAACCACTTCGCGTGTGCACATCACAAATCGAAACGATACACGTTCGTCGAAGCGAGCGCGAGCAAATGCATGGCATGGGCATGGGCATGGGCATGGGCATGGGCATGGCCAGGCCACCTGTCGCTCGCGCGCGCGCATTGCTCCACCGCACCACTGGCCGACTCCCGATACTAGCTTACCCGATGGAGCAGAGGAAAGCCGCATCCAGCTTGTACTGTACTCGCCACTGCCGACATTTCCCTGTCATCCATCTGATCTGGTGATGAGAACGATCGTGATCATCATCGGGCCGGGGATACGTGCACGATCCTCGGTACGGTGCGCCATCGCATCGAGAGGAAGGCACTCGATTTGCACTTGTACTTGTATAATGGGGTTTCTCATCTCCTCACGTGCTTGGCTTTTTCTCTCTTCAAAATAGTGTCTGCATGTGGTGTGGTGGTGCTGGTGACCACCGACGACGTCTATGGGGGCGCGCGCGAATCAGCTCCATCTACACAGGCAGGCTTCGCGAAGGTACGGAGCCGTGACACAACGCGTGTCCTTTCTACGTGGCCGTTATGTAGAAGCCTCACCACGCTACGTGTCCCGGGGACTGCCCCGCGGCTGCAGCTTATAAATATAGCCCGCTGTAAAGCCCCTAGCCATCAGCACTTTGTTCTTGAAGCTTCAGCTGAGCGTCATCACCATCAGTAGCCAACTATTAAGTGATCCCTGCTCTCTGTTTCTTCATCTCCCGAGTGATTTGCTGTGATCGATCGCTTCGTGGCCGGTTCAGTTAGTTCCAGAGCGAGCTGAGCTTCATTAGCTTGAGAGACCCCTGCCATGGCTTCCCACCAGGCCGGCGAGACCAAGGCCCGCACCGAGGTACGTAGGCCATCTCCATCTTGCAGCAGCTGTTGATCACGCAGTTACTTTCATTCTTATCTGCTTATGAATTCGAATGCAGGAGAAGACTGGGCAGGCCATGGGGGCGACCAAGGACACGGCGCAGCACGCCAAGGAGAGCACCAAGCAGAAGCCGTCCGACACCGGCAGCTACCTGGGCCAGACGACGGAGGCCACCAAGCAGAAGGCCGCGGAGGCCACGGAGGCCGCCAAGCAGAAGGCCGCGGAGACGACGGAGGCCGCCAAGCAGAAGGCCGCGGAGACGACGGAGGCCGCCAAGCAGAAGGCCGCCCAGACGACGGAGGCCACCAAGCAGAAGGCCGCCGAGGCCACGGAGGCCGCCAAGCAGAAGGCCGCCCCAGCAGGTATGGTTGGTCCATCAGTCACGCCCATTTCACGCGCGCACGCGCACAAATGAACACCGGCATGCCTTGAAATTGAACCCAACAGCAGGTTTCTCATGGCTTCTCTTGTGCTTCGATTCCCAGGCCACTGAGCAGGTGAAGAGCGCGGCGGCGGGCGCCAAGGACGCGGTGATGAACACGCTGGGGATGGGTGGGGACAACAGCAAGCAGGGCGACACCAACACCAACAACAGCAAGGACTCCACCACCATCACCAGGGATCACTAGACACGTGAATGGATGCACGCGCCCTTATTCGGCCTGTCCATGATACCGTTTGCTTCTTCATGAGTCCAGTATGTATGCATGTTTTCAGTGTCGTGATTTTGTTCTACGTTTGGTGCTGTAAGTTTAATTCGCAGTTGCTGTGGTTCTTGGGTCATGAAGTGTCTGTAAACGAGTCGGGTGGGAGTGTTCTTTGTTATAATAAAGTTGGTAAAGCCTGCGTCCTCCGTCCAAAAATATCTACATTTTACAGGTGTAAAAAGACATTTCTGCTCGTGTAAAGTACGGACGTTCTCAGTCTCAGTTCAACTTTATTGTTGCTCGCCAAGCAAAAAAAAAAAAAATGCTGCCGGAATCCATGATGGCCGCCCGGCACCACTGGAACTCGGGCTGGCGCATGGCCGCGGCCGCCGCCGAATCAGAGGCCCGGGGAGGGCCAGAGCTAGAAAGTAGACATCCGCTGCCCCTATCAGTCAAATGCCCACTGTCGCTGCAGCTCCCGCAGCCACTCGCCGGAAGCCCAGTCTTCTCCACCGCTGCCACATCCGCACCGTCCGCGGCGTCCAACCAAGACAGGTCAAAAGCCGGATTTGCCGCCTCGGCCGCGCCAATGTCGCTTCGGTCCCTCACGAGCGCGCTCCAGTCCTCCCCAACGCCCATGCCCGCCCTTCGTCCTCCACGAACACGCGTCGTCGATCCTACATTGCACGACATCTCTCCACCGCAACGGCGGTTGGACCCCCGCCTCCATCTTCAACGCTGACGGGGATGAGCTCCAGCCGCACGGGCGCACCCGCGGCGTTGCTGTGGCTCCTGCCGACCGGAGCCGAGCCCGTGCGTCGAGCGCCAGTCGCGTCTCGCCAGCGTCGGCGTCCGTGTCCACCAAGCCCCTATTCCCGCGGCGCGGGGGACGAGATCGTCTTGCCTGTGGCGGCCGGGGCCGGGGCTCCACCGGCAGGAGCTGAGCCCGCGTGCCAGCTACCGGCCGAGCCGGCTTCACGAGAGCGCCGCCGCTTTGGTTCCAGTTATGCACGCACTGGGATGGAACGGGTTTGGCCGCTGTGCGTTGAGTGCCAGGCGACGGGAAGAGGAACAGTTGCAGCGGCGACGGGAACCATCGAGAGACGGAGCGAACAGAAGGCTGAGCGTCCGTTTTTTTTTAAAGTAATAAATCGATGAATGGGAAAAGAGAACGAGTGGCCAGGAAGTGGTGGAATGATCTGTCTGTCTCTACAGCTGTGCACCGTCCGCGGCATCCAGCTATCTGGCGCGGCGAAACGTCTGTGCGCGCGTCTTCAGGAAGCGTGGCTGCGGGGCGCCGCCGTGACTGGCGGCTGCGGCGCACTAACACGCCGATCGATCGGTGGCCAATGTCGCTTCGCCCCTCACGCGCTTTCGCGCGCCCGCCAGTCCTCGTCCACCGCCCCACCGCATCCATCGCAAGATGATCGTCCGTCGTCCTCCACGAACACGCGTCGATCGATAGACCATAGATTATATTGTTCAAAGATTACAGTTGTACCACTTTGTTCCCTTATCTAACCACCGCAATAAAAGCGGTTGGCACCCAATGACACACATGACCATAAGCCACTCTTCAAACCCGCTAGACGGGGATGAGCTCCAAATCTCCGCACGAATGGCGCACTTCTTGGTCTTGATGGCTCAAAGAGGCGATGCTAGTCGCAAATTGTTGTCACGTGCAAACCGTGCTCACCCTTTGAAAAACCTTTTAACTTCACGTTGAGCGGAGCCGAGCAAATAACTTCCCAACTAAATTGCGATGCAAAACAGCTAGCGCCAGAGTCAAAGAGCGTATCTCTTGATTAATTCAATTTCATTACGGAATCTTTTTATATTAATCCAATATCTTGTAAAATCAGTAAATATATATTTTCTTCCTATCCCCGTGCAGAAAGATTGCTCGCAAAATAGTCTTGTAAGTGATGTTATTCCATTCATGGCTACCAACATAGATCTTTACATTGATCAATAATCTTGCCATGGTCCTGTGTGACCATTCGGTGGGATCCTCTCCTTACATCCCTTGGAAGGGGCATATTTTTTTTTTGCTTTTATTGTTTCTTTGTGCTATGACCTGGCTAATTTCCTCCACCGGACATTCTATTCAGAAACTTAAATGCATTATGAGGGAAAAAACAAACTACATGCCGATCATCTCACACACACGAGAGAGAGAGAGAGATTAGAAAAAAAGGAACTAACAAGGGGGACACTAGGTTATGGAAGCGCACTAAACTCGCCGCTTTGACTATCTAAATAAAAGAAATCGATAGAAATCACGAGAGGACAAGGAGATGGAACGGGTTTTTGAGAAGAACAGGATGACCTTGTGCGTTGAGTGCCAGGAAGAATGGGAGAGCTTTTAGATATATATGACTATATAGATGGAATGTGTCATTAAGCTATTTCTCCGACGGTGAACCATCTAATATTTCAGCCAGACGTGTTGAGACCATCCACAGATAAGTTTAATTGCTGTACCATATAAAAGCGTCCGCAAGGTTTGTGTTTCATCTCCCAATAAATGTATTTGAATGTACGCTTTCTATCATATATACTTATGTCCTTTCTCATTCCAGTAATACTATATAGTGAGATAGGAAGTGACTTGGAATGGGAAATCTGCACATTCATGAAGAGAAAAAAAATATCTAGTGAGGTTTAGCTTTTTTATTCTAGATTAGCTCACACCAAAGGAATGGGCACAAGCCTTTCAGATCGACCGATTATCTCTCTCTGTGCCACCATGCATTTTGGGAAGCGTTTTTTTGAAATCGCGTGGCCAAAAGTGTTAGTTTTGGTAAAAAAATTAAGCGTTAGATTTAAAATTAGTTTACAAAAATATTAAAAATATATTGCATGTGCTTGTGGTGGCCTATATATGGCTGTGGCCACACAAAATATGAATTGTGTCTTATGGTTTTCACATCTCACAAATTCTCTCCAGATTCATATAGATTCCTTCAAATCCTTTACGAATATGATGTGTCTTGTGTTCTGAGTATGATGTACGAATATGATCTTGTAGTAGTCGCAAAGACAGGACCAAAATGGTTACTGAACAAACAACGATAATAATCGGCTGAACAAAGAACGGTGAATTGGTGAAAGCGGTTTGGTGCAAGGGACCATAATTCTCTTGCAGACCGACAAGATGAGCAGGTCTGGGGCCTTGTTTAGATTCTAAGTTTTTTCACTCTCTTTCTATCACATCAAATTTTTGGACACATGCATGGAGTATTAAATGTAGATAAAAAAAAAACTAATTACACAGTTTGATTGTAAATTACGAGATGAATCTTTTGAGCCTAGTTAGACCATGATTAACAATAATTGTCAAATACAAACGAAAGTGCTACAGTGCCAAATACTGATTTCTAACCGCGAACTAAACAAGGCCCGGAACAAACTTCTTTTACTGTGACTATAGGGCATACACAATTAAGGCATGGACGTCTGGAACAAACTTCTTTAACTGTCAGTCTATCTAGTATAGTACATAAATTTGTATGCGAACTGATTGGTTAAATTTTTTATGGTGAAATCTGTCGGGTTCAAGTCTTAGTTGGTTCCGGGTTCAAATCCCAGTTGGTTAGGTTCTTATGGTGGAACCTGTCCACCCGAGTTAAGTCCTTAACTTGGTACGGATGCTCGTATTTTCTGAATTTATTTCATGATTTAACAACATTTGTGCTTTCAATAGTAGGCAACGTTCATGTCGACAGCGAGGCGTCTATGGTGATTTCGTCAATCTCGAGATGTGTCGGCATAGGCTTTCGGAGGTACTCATAGGGGTTGAATTTGCGTAGTGTGTTTATAGGGGTGAGTGTGCATGCGTATGAGCGTGTACTTGTGTAATTCGAAAAAAACATAGATTTGCAAGAGCTGATATATGCGAGGCACTTGTGGTGACTTCGTTAATCTCGAGATGTGTCGGCATAGACTTTCGGAGGTGCTAATAGGTGTAAGATTTATGTAGTGTGTTCATAGGGGTGAGTCTGCGTGCGTGTTGAGCGTGTACTTGTGTAATTCACAAAAAAAACATAGATTTGCATGAGCTGATATATACACCACATACAGGTATGTATAACCTATATGAGGTGATACATAGTTGTATGTAGTCTATACATGAGTACATATCTCATAAAAGCAGTTTCTAAAACATGCATCAGCCATACGCAAATCTTTTGCGTATTTGAGAAAAAAACCATGCACCAGCCTAGTACATGCGCTAACAATTAAGATACAGACATGATGTATGAGACAGATGTATAGGAATTAAGCTACAAGCATGATGTATATAGCTTTGCTGAGGCAGATGTATATAGCTTTGTATGAGACGAAACATTGATGTATACAACTATGACAGATGTATGTAGTCTACACAAGAGATAACATAGATATATATCATCTACATGAGTGCATATCTCATAGGAACTGAAACATACTAAATATTTGGAACTGAAACAAGACCTAAATCTATAGGTCTTGTGTAGAGTCATAGTCTGCATCGTCGAAGTCGGACTTATATATAATATATTGTCTGACTTGTTCGAATCTGGTGGGCTGGGTGGGCTAAGTGGCGTAGGTGGGCTAGGTGGGCTGGGTGGGCTAGGTGGTGCAGGCGTGAACACTACTTCTACTTGGGACGAATCCGAAGTGTGGTGGTAGTGGAAATAAAGGTAGCACTCGAGCATGTTGCAGAGGTTGCACTTGAGGAGGCTCGACTTTCATGTCCTCTACACTCTGCTACATCAGTGCTGGTACCCGCCTTCCTCCACGGTAGCCTTATCCTCAATGTGCTTCAGTATCTCGAGAGCAACCCCTGTACATAAGAAAATAAAACCAATATTTTATTATTTACACTTGATATTACATGAAAATCTTAGATGTTTTAGTTTATGCTTACTTCATCATATATAAATGGTTCCGCTTGACGGGCAAGTTCAGTCTTAAGATTCCTCAATATTATTGAAGAC